CGCCCCTCTCCAAAGTCAGTCTTACAGGGTCGGGAAATCAATTGAAAAAGAGGTCGGAGAAAGGGGAACTTACGAAGACGACATAGCCTGGTTCTGGCTGCATCAAAGGATGCCCTAGCACCAGGTAGACGTAGTCGAGGGCGGCGCCCGCCTCGTCCCGTAGAGGCTCCATCGCCTCCTTGATGCGTTGCGCGATCTCGAAGTTGGGAAGTGCTCCCTCGGCGAGCGTCGTTCTGTCGCACGACGCCTTAGGCGCCATCGTGTATAGCAGGAGCGCGTGCATCATCAACGGTGCCACCCTCCTCGCATGGTTAGCCCTGATGACGCCTGACCCCTTTAGGCCGCTCTCCTTTAGGATGTGGATGGCAGTGATATGGTCCCGGATTTTCTTCTTGTCCTTCTCTGGGATGCCCCACTTCCTCCACGGCTCCGGGGCCTCCTCGATCAGGCGCCCGGTGAACTCCGGTAGAGGGGCGGCAGTGTCGTTCTTGAGGTAGAATCACTGCGAGTGCCACCCCTTGTTGAACGTCGAGAGTCGCATCGGCGGGTACTCGCTAACCCGGTTGTTCCGAAGCTGAATGCCGGCGCATCCCGTCGGCATGTACAGATCTGGCTTGCCGCCCTTCTCCCTCTTCTTCTGTAGGTTGACGGCGAAGAAGTACCTCCAAAGATCAAAGTGAGCGCTGATCCCCAGGAATCCTTCGCACAATGCGATGAACGCCGCCATGTGCTAGATCCCGTTGGGATTGAGGTGCAGTAGCTCGATCTGGTAGTAATGCAGCAGCCCTCGAAGGAATTTGTGGGCGGGGGTCGTGAGCCCACGCTCGTGGAAGTGGGCAAACGACACCACGTAGCCATCGGCGGCAATGGCATGTCCTCGTTGCCCAGCAGCAATCACTCCTGAGCCGCGGTCCACACGCGGAGGAGGCCACAGCGGACGAGGCCCTCCATGCGCGTGAAGGTGATGTCGAAGCGGCACCTCGGATCCATCGGAAGCAAGGGAATATGAATGCGAGCGCGGCGGTGGTGGAGAAGTGGAAGCAGGAAACCCTAGCTTGGTGGCAGTGGAGATGCGAAGGCAGGAAACCTAAGAGATTGGCGGTGGTGGTGTGGCTGTGGAGGTAAGGATGCAGGCGTGCGTATGAAACACGGGGGGCTAACCCTTTGGTTTTATAGGGGCAACGGGTGCGAGGAAACCAACCGCCCACCTAGATCTCCGCACCCACCACGACCTGTCACCATGTCTCGTCACGGGGTGTGCGCACGCAAAACTCTAGTCATCCCCTTGAAAAATGCGCCAGACATTTCACCTCCCTGAATGGACCATGACTCATCACAGGTAAAAGGGATACGGAGCTGAAAACGCTCCTACAGCCCATCTAGGCCCAGGAGTTCGAAGGTTGGCCCACCGACGGGTTCGACAACCGCTCCGGGCACCTTTAGAGTGAGGGGTGGAAAGGGATGGGCCCGCTAGCGGCCAGCACCCGGGTGCACGAGCGCCGCAGGCATCTCGGCCCGCGTTCGAGTCTCTGTCGGATACAGTCCATGGTTTTTCCTCAAAGAAAGGCAGAGAGCCCTCAGGACCGATCGAACGAACCCGAGAACTATATGGATTGACCGCTGAGAATCTAGAGTCGGTTACTAGCTGACCCAAGCCGGATCCCCACAAACGGGATGCCAGGGCCCCACTCGGACTAGCCCATTAACAACTCACCGAGCACTATGATTTGTCCATAGAGGAAAATCATGGCATGGCTCAGCCCCTCCATTTTTATCAAAAAACGATTGAGGGAAGACGATCACAAAGGTGAGCCGACCCTCGACCGGACCCTAGCTACGTGCAAGGGTTCGAGGAAAGTTGGACTCGTAAGGAGACCGAACGCGCGGTCGTAGAACGACAGATGGTCAGTCAGACCCCCGTAGGGGTCAGAATTGGGAAAGACCTTTTCCGACCCACCAAATCTCATAGCTATACCCCCGAGAGGTCCGATCACAACGAAAGGGAGTCACCGGCTCTGAGACACGCCGTGGGCGACGAAAGAAGGCCAAGGCCCTCAGTGTTCTCCCATTCAAAAAAGCCTCCAAAGGAGTATTCTACTCCTCCGCAGGCTCGGGGGCTACTGTCGGGGACCAATACCAGGGTACCCGAAGAGGAGGACCTAATGGTCATCAACATTGATTCACCCATGTTGTCAAGTGCGTGACTATAGCTCCTTCCTCCTCGCCCGACCGCTGGGGGCAGGCTCCGCCTCGCCAAACCTCTGGGTCGGGGGCTCCGCCTCACCCGACCACTGGGGACAGGCTCTGCCTCGCCCGACCCATGGGTCGAGGGCTCCGCCTCACCCAACCACTGGGGCCAGGCTCTGCCTCGCTCGACCTCTGAGTCAGGGGCTCCGCCTCGCTCAATCACTGGGGCCAGGCACCGCCTCTCCTGATCTCTGGGTCAGAGGCTCCGCCTCACCCGACCCCTCAGGCGCGGCTCCCAACGGAAGCCCATACCGCCGCCAACCACTACGAGCCAGAAAGTACGACCCAAGATCAAACTTCTGGCACCGTGCAGGGAGCGTGCGCATCACATCATGACCCGTGCCCGCGATATGTCACTCTAGGGAACTCACACCACCAACAGTGACGGACGCGTGGTCGCTATGCTGCCTACTCCCTGTACGGTCGCTAACCAAAACGCCAATCCGTCGCGTCGCCCACCGGGACGGGATGGGACGCCACGACCCGCTGACAACGCCAGGGCGTGGCATCAACGACGATCAGGCACCCGGCGCAGAGCCGTCCTTGTCACCTTCTGCAGTGCCGGTGGGACCCGCATAAAGGAAAAGAAAGGTCCAACGGTCCGAGAGGCCTTCTTCCCCTTGACTTTTACCCCTCTATCTCCCTCTCTCCTCATCCCCTTGGACTATAAAAGAGAAAGCAGGACGTCCCATGAAGGACACGAAAACATACGACTCTGCACGGCAATAGACACGACACATCCTAGCAACACACACGCACTAGAGACTTGGGATCTCGTCCCTCTCTCGCCCGTCGCCCGTTTGTAACCCCTACTGTAAACTTTCAGTGCCGGTAACACGAGCAGCGTCGAACTGGACGTAGGGACATTCAGCCCGAACCAGTATAAATCATTGTGTCTTCCGAGCACACCATCCGAGCTAGACGCGTAAATACAAATTTACTAGTTGGTGACTCGAAACACCGACAAGTGTATCTATTTAATATCATGAATGTTGGTGTTTTTTTATCAAACTTTTAATCATACTTTAGATAGTTTAGCTAACAAGAAAACAAGAATTGCATATTCTTTTCAGGACGACTATAGTAGTTAAAGCCCTCGTAGATTGCTTCCTGAAAATTATCATAACATATCGGTTAAAGTTTCAGGCTATCAGCTCTCTTTTTTCAAACAAATGGCAACAACTCCCCTTTCGCTCAAGAAGAGGGTAGCACGCCAAAACTCTTATGTAGACGTATGACATTTGTAGTTCGTTGTTTTAACATTGTCCCAATGCACCAAAGGCTTGTTTGCTTGTTGCCTGGAAATATAAAGGCAAGCAAAGATCTAGATCCTAGCTGGATTTCCTTGCCGGGCTCTGACAGCATTTTAGTCCTCTAAGAGCAAGGTTAATAATAGAGTCAAATTGCTTGGCTATAAGATAAGTTATAAGAGCCAAGCTATACAATAAGTGTCTCATATTTATCTTAAAAAAAGGCTCTCTCTTCTATTCCTTCTCACAACACTTGCTATTTAGACCCACTAATGTATATGCTTCCGTGCCCAGTTTGGTGCTTACATGAGAGACAAGCTCTCATCTCTCTTTCACATCAGCATTAGATTGGCTATAAGCCCATTATTGTACTTGCTCTAAGCAAATAGCCTCCTAGGGCAGCAGCGTCTTGTCCGGGACATTCGGTAAGTCCGGTCTTGTCCCACGTACCATATGCTCCCTCTTCTGTTCTAAAGACTTAGAACGGTCATTTTAGTTTTTCTACATACAAAATAGTCTCTTTATCATGTATCTAGATATTATAACATATATCTAAATACATAGCTATAATAAAAAACGACTTATAATTTAGGATGACATGAATACTTTCATAAGCGACAGCTAGATGCTACTCCTATCTCCATCTCAGAAAGGATACGTACAATGCTAGAATAGTGTTGAGTCAAACATTCATAAATTTAACCCAAGTTTGTATAAAAAATGTTATTATTTAACATAATAAATATAAATAATTAAAGTCACCAATAAATATATTTTCCATATTACACCCATTTAAAGTCGTAGATATTGATATTACCTTCTATAAACCCAGTTTAAGTCAAAATAATTTGACTCTGAACAGATAAGAATGACATCCTTCCTAGAACGGAGGGAGTACGGTAGACAGGCGACAGCAGATACTTGGCTCTCAATCTCAGCCCCCGGCAACCCTAGTTCGCACCGGGCACAAGAGTGAATGGGAAAAGCTGAAAGCTTTCAACAATGCTCTTTCTGGTCACGTGAAAGAAAGCAACCTTAGCCAGCAGCACACATCTACATACATACACAAGACCCAAAAGAGTAGCAGGAAATCAACAGCTCTGTCAAAACCAAACCAGTCCTCGGGTCTCCTCTATCAATATTCTTCTATCCTTGGGCAACGGAATCGAATTGTCAACCTACAAATAGACACAGGGCAGGCAGCACTAGCCACTAGCACAGAGCGGCGCCTGCCTTGTTATGGCATCCATGGGATATAACTCAGCCCTATTCCCAAATCAATTCAAACGCTGCACCTAATTATCTTCGACTACCAGTTTATACTAACATAAAACCATTGGTCGGACGCAACACAACAAACAATAATAACTTGATCTTCTCTTCTCGAGCTTGCTAGGAAAAAAAAAAAAAAAAAGGAAAGCAGTTCCCACATCCTCCTAACTTGCATCAAACATGCTGCTCGGACTCAACAATGGCCCACGTCCTTCCTTCAAAAGGGGCTCATCACCTCTCTGAACTGGCTGACACCCTCTGCATGATCATGGACTCCGCGGTCCGGATAGCTTCAGATGTTCCAGTAATCGTCACCTTCCTGCACCAGTGGGTAAGATTTAGCAAAAACACATTATTTACTTATTGGAAAAAAGGTACGAAAGAAAATACCTGTCAGATGTATCAGATATGAAGTCACCCCTATCTGATATCTTGATCCGAGCACCACTAGCCTGCATGGACAACAAATTGCAAGACGTTATTTAGCTACTAATTTTAGTGAAAACATAGTGCATACACCAAGGGCCACAGCAGTTTATCATGGGTTGTTCAAAACCTTTGTACTATTGATGATCTTTTGTTCCTAAAAGTAACAATGGCACAATGTATTGTTTATACTTCTCTTAAGGGCAATCTACTTGACCAAAACAAGTTTTGAGAGGCAGAAGTAATTAGTGATACACATCATACAGGGAGAATGGGATCTTAGCTTATGATTGTCTGACTGGCCACATTACTGCTATCGTAAAACCAAATGCAATACGTACAGTTACCTGAATGATCTCTGTTATGTTCCTTCCAGCACGACCTACAACAGCACCAATGTGTTCATCGGCTATACCGATGGTCAAAGATTCGTGGGCTTCATTACTAGCAGGCGACCTCATAGGTGTACTGGGCTGCAAAGTGTCAACAGCAAATAGTCAACTCAAATTTATCCAGCAGTGTAGATATGTATGTCAAAAATATGAAACAATTAAATTGTAACAATGGGTGAAGTTCTTTCATGTTTTCCACCAAAAGCCACACTTTCCACGACATGCACAACATCAACCAATAAAAACTACATGATGTTCACAGAAAACATAATAGCATTTCAAACATCTCAGCATACGAGCAGTATTACCAAGTCATGACATGTAAGCATATAAATGTCAAACTGCAAGAAAAATAACATATGCAAGTTAAATCAAACATCTACACCGGTTCATTAACATCATTCTAATGTTAGGTTGCACTCTGTAATCACAACAATTCAGCAAAGATCAATAGTGCCCACGACAATGCTAGCACAATATTACCTTAAATTTATGAGACCTCCAACTTGTACTATCAAAGTTTGTCTCCATGAGATTTCTTTGAATTTGTTCAGAACAGAAAATATAACAGGATTACACTACAGAACAGTGTTTCCATTAGATAACATGACATACATATCAGCCCTCCAGGCTCCAGCCTACCTCTCTAATGCATAACAAAAGAAAACATAGAATAGCTCAGTTTCAACTTTCAACAAAGATGGACTGAATGCATGCATGTTGCAATGCACCTACAGAATAAATCCTACATCCTACAGAATAGCATGACAACAAGCAGAGCAACCCAGAGAAAACACTAACCTTGTTGTTTTGGTACCTTCCTCCGTACCCATTATTAGGTCCATAGTTCACAGCATTATTATATGGCACCTGCGGAATCATATAACCAACAGGAACACCAGGGTAGCTTGGGAAAGTAAGACCTGATTAAATTTAAAGAACAGAATCAATCGCAGAAAGTTGTGATTCAATATAGAATCGAAATGCCAGGCTTGACCATGACTGGGAAATGGTACTGCAAATACCACATGTCAATATGCAAGAAAGCTCAACTATGTTTCCAAGAAATGCATGCTGTCATAAAGTGTGAAATACAGATGCTATACATAAAAGACAGATGCAAGGAACAGGTCACAAGGAGACATTTTCAGATATACATGTAGTAACATCAAGTAGTCATAGATGCCAGGATTTACCTGCATATGGAAATGGGGAACTCAAATTAGGTGGGTAGTGAACATCCTCAGATAACTTCTTCAGTATCAAATCTATCGCATTCATCTGATTATCAAAGGTTCCTGTGACTGTAACAAGCCTATCATGCAAACCAACATAGTTGTTATCCTGAGGAGAAATTTTGATTCCAGCATGTGATTCTTCAATAAATGACCTGTAGAGAAAAGAGAACACACCAACTTTCAACATGCAGAGTAATGTAAAAAAGAACAGCCATATAAAATGGGAATATAAATGAGTCAAAAGATATTTAAGACTGGAAAAACAAATTTAGCATCAAACAACTAGAAGATTATTTGCAAAAGTAGGAACAGTATGCTTCTTGCTTAACTACTGAAGCATCATGGTTAATTTGTCGAATCATCATATATCACCGGCTTGTAAATAAAATTAACTACCACAATGGGAACAAAACCACTGATAACACAACAAAGTAGAACAAGTCTATGAAGATATACATACTTTATTGTTGCTCCACCTTTACCAATTATCCCACCACATGAGCTGTTAGGAACTACAAGTCTAACTTTAGGTCTAGCTTCAGCTTCATTGAATTCTTCACCCTGATAAAGTAACTGGAGAACATCAATCATCAATCATGGATCAGTCACTTGCAAATAAAATGCTTTACCTCAGCCAAAAGTTTCTCAAGAATCAAATCCATGGCCTTCATTACTTCATCAAACAGCCCAGAAACCATGATGATCCTGTCATTTGTACCAGGGAAAAACTCATGGCTACGTGATAACTGAATACGAGCCCCAGACTGGGACTGAAAGTCATTAATAGTTGATCCACCCTTGCCAATGATACATCCTGCTGCCGTATTAGACACCAGAAACCTCAAATGTGTTGGTTTCTCCTTGTCATCTGAGAAGAAATATCAATTGAAACTTCAGAAATATGTTGAATCTCAATAGTTAAACCATTATGAGTTTAATCATTAAGTTTTTAAGTTAAAAAACAGCACGGTTGATGCATATTGCAGTTGAAACTGGAAACCACCAGTACACGTATTAACTCAGTTGAAGCCTAAGGATGCTATGGCTTAAATAATTTCAGTTAAAAAAATCACGATTCCAGAAAACAGTAAGCAAGTAAATCCAAATTGCCCATACACAGAACAGAACCAATGTACACAACATACTACGTGGAATAGAACATAGGATGGAGTCTTAGGCTGACAAAACTATTTCACCTAGTTGGTTGAGGGCTGAGTAGTAGGCCGCAAGCTTTATCCTACCTTCTGGCTTCTAGTGGGTTCATATAGGTTACCAACAGAACTGACTACGTGGACAAGTGTTTAAGGGGCTGTTTGGCAGGACTGAAAAATAAGCAAAAATACTGTTCTGGCTGATTGTTGTGAGAGAAAAATACTGTTCTGTCTGGAAACACTGCTCACGTGAACAGTGCTGCTGTGAGTGCGCTGGCCAGCCCAGCCGAACGCAGCCTAATTATGCGCAAGTACTTGCACAGAGTCACAGATCCCAAGTACCATGGTTTAAGCATCACCAATTAGCATATTTTCACAAACATAACCAGTTGAAAACTTTAGTATCCCAACATTTTCAGGATAGCAGACATTGTAGGCTAGAGTAGCTACAATATGAATTTGGCATACTTATTTCCATCCAATGAACTACACTTAATTGAAACAGGACCATATCTGTAACTGAAACTTCTCTTTAAACAGAGAGGAGGAATAATTTACAACACTAAGCTTCGGCGGTGCCATCATTATACTAACTATTATGCACTAAGTGTCACATTTATCACGGCATCCAGCAGTTAAATGTCCTAAGTTAAGCCTGCCATGCCCACATAATAACCAGCATCATTATCAGCTTCCAGTACATGATGTGCAACACATGATGTGCAACGGCGTCAGCAATCCAACTGAGGACAAATATTATTACAGATTAAACCAGCTCCGAACCGAACGTCCTCCGCAGTGACGTTTATCATTAAGAGTGGAAGTGGAGACAACAAAGCAAAGCAAAGCGGTACTAGGGCAACCCCGTGAAGATAATCCTATGGGAAACGCAGCTCGAATCGCAGCGCACCGATGGCGACGCGACACTGGCGCCAACCAACTGCTTACAGATCTCGGCATCGGAGCGGGAAGCGGAGGCCCAGATCTCACGGATCCAGGCACGCTGCAGCCGGGCACGCGAACTCAGGGGCCACGTACATACAGACGCCGGGGAAAGCGAACCCGCGCGCGCGACGGGACGGAGAAGAGAGACGCGTGGCAGTTACCTCCTTCCTCGGAGGTAGGCTGCTGCTGCGGAGGGGAGCGGGGGGCACGCTTGGGGGCGGATTCCGGCGAGGAGGCGTAGGGGGAGCCCGGGGCTTCCATCCTTCCTTCCTGCGGCGGGGCGGTGGGGGGCGGAGGCGGAGGCAGATGCGGGAAACTCTAGCTAGATCTCTCTGGGCCTACGCCATGGATTCCAAGTGAAGTGCGGAAGGAGAGGGAGGAGGGGGGCTGGTTGGGCTTTTTTGGACTTTATTATCCGCCCGTCCACCCGTTTTCTGTTTTTGGGCTTGCCGCGACAGAGCTACTAGTAGTATAGGACTCCTTATTAGGGAATTTTTTTAAAAAAATGATACATATACGTATTTCCACACAAAAATAAAAAGGGATGTATATTAAAATATGTACTTCCTCCCCATGGCAACTTTCACATTACTCCCTTGAAAATATGTATACTTCCCCCAAGTTTTTGTTTACTTGTCGTTCATGACTTTCACACTTTTAGATTTGATCAAATACATATAAAGATACTAATAAAGTATGATGTATAGTTAGTATCATTAGTTAATAATGAAATCTCTTTTCATAGCAATAATAAACACATTAGAAGATACAAATAGTGATAATAGTTTCTATAATTTTTATCAAATTTAAAAATGAGTTTCTCAAGAAACCAGATAAAATAATTCCTTGCAAAACAAAGATATGCAATTATTTTACAACAAAGGGAGTATATTAAAAAGGTGGTGTAGGTAATCGAAGATAGCGGTAAGGATTAATGTATAATCCAGAGCGTTGTATATATTTCACAGTCTAAATATTTGTTTCTTTTAGGAAGCAATACAATATCGTTGTGTTGCACTGTAGCCCCATAAACTTTTTGGCAAGGCAAGGCTTCGCTCCGTGTGCTCCAAGCCGGAGCGGAGCCCTTCTGCAGAAGCCCGAAATCACAGCTCTGCCTACCGTACGAGAAAATAGCTCCTACCCAGGGGGCAGATCCAACGGTAGGGCGAGGGGGCTCGAGCCCCCCTACCCATACCGGAGTGTGGAACCTCTGGAGCTCCCATGAATTTTTAGGCACAGTTCTACAGTGTAGGTGGGGCTGAGACTTAAGATCAAACAGCAATCGAAGGTATATGTTATTCAACGCCTCCTAAAATTTTTCATGGACCACTGCTCCTACCCCATTCTACGGCTCCTCCTCGCTGACCTGCATCCTTTGGTGCAGCTCTGCCGCCGAAGCTGGAGATGGATGTGAAGCCCTTCTACCGAAAGCCCGAAATCGCAGCACATTGCTGCTCCCTCCGTGCTTCACGCCCGAGCGGTGCCTCCGCGCGTGGACACTAAGGATGGCAACGGGACCCGATACCCGACGGGTATTTGATCCATTAGGGGATGGGGATGGGATCATATCTTTACCCGTGGATATCTAAATGGGCAAGAATCCATACCTGACGGGTATAGCGGGTACGGAAACGTTCCCTGTTTACCCGTCCCCGTTACCCATTGGGGATCCCGACTATTTAAGCTGTCATGCGAGTATTATGCCCAAAGAAGCTCAACATAGATATTTTGGTCCAAATCTGAACAGTCATATATATAATTTGTGTGTTCTAGGAACCATCGTTCAATTTTTCCTCACCATCTCCGCCAGAAAGACAAGCACACTTGTCTCACGGCGCTCGTGCCCCTCGCTTCCTCGATTCGGTCTCTCGCCACCTTTTCGTCCTCTCGCAACCTTGCTCTTCTCCCCAAGATCTCCGAGACTGGACACTTATACCGGGTGAAAAGAAGCGTCTCGATTGCAAAGCCCGAAAGTGTCCTTGTTTATCAGCTCCGCGCATATCCATACCTAACCGAAAACATGTGTACGGTGATGGGCAAGAATCTTACCCAAGAGCAGCTTAATGAAGATGTGGCGGGATGAATTCTCCATAGCGCGCTTCACGCCCGAGCGGTATATACCCGTTGTCATCCTTAGTGGACACGCATCCTTGGACGTTTGTTATAAAAACCCTCCTGTTTTGCCAAAAACAAACCCGCAGTCCAATTCGTCCGTCCTGTACAGTGACCACGTTGCAGTTTGTTTCGATTTGCCCCCTAATGTAAGTTTTATTTTAATGTGAAAGAGAGAAAAAAAGGGTAATTCGCCGTTTTCGCAGAAAACCCCCGCAGGTAGTTTTGCGGGGTACCCCTCGACCCAGCGGCCCGGCCCAGCCCAACCCCTCAGCCTCATTCTCTTCTCCGCCGGCGCCGGCGCCACCGACGCCCCCGTCGCTGCTTGCCACGCACGCCTCCCATCGCCGCCTCCACACTGACACGGGCTGCGTCGTCGCTCCTCCGCCTAATGCGATTTTCCGGAGCCGGATCTGTCCAGAGTCGCTGTGCTGGTGAGTGGTGACCGACGGAATAGGCGATGGGCACAGGCGTGGGGAGCTGATGATGGCGGAGGGGATCTTGTGTACCACGGGTGATGGGTCCTCCAGCATGTCGGGTCTACGGCGAGCGGCTCTGGCACGGTGGTCTCTGCCGGGCGAGCACCAGGTCCCCTCCCCGCCCCGGCATGGTGATTCAGCGAGCGGCTGTGCGGTGCCATCAGTACTGCTCTGCTATCAGCTCTCACATATGTTACAGTTCTGGTTTCGTTTTCTTTTCTTTTCCATGACATCAATGTTTTCTTGTGGACTTCTGTGGGTCTTTATGTTTCATTTACGAATCACCTGCTTCATCTGGAGTATTATCCGTTGGAGTGAATGGCCTTCAAAAGGACAGTGAATCATACTCACTTGTGGTTAGTTTGTGAGGTAGAAGCCATTGGAGGAAATGTCTCTGCATCAGCTTCCTGTGAGCAAATGAGCCATACCTATGATGCATTGGAAGAGCTATACACCAGAAATGGTTGAAGTTCTCATTGACAGGGTGAGGGCTGAGGAATCCAGCATTCCTCGAATGGGTTGGGAGGTCAAAGAGAAGGTTGCTTAATTTAAGTTGTTTTGAGGTGACAGGTTGCAAAACAAGGCATCCTATTATCCTGTCATTTATTTGGCTGATAGTTATATAAGAAGCTGACACTAATTTAAGTTGTTTTGAGGTGACAGGTTGCAAAACAAGGCATCCTATTATCCTGTCATTTATTTGGCTGATACTCCCTCCATCCCAAATTGTAAGTCATTCCAAGAATCTTGGAGAGTCAAAGCTTTTCAAGTTTGACCAAAATTATAAAAAAAATTACAAAGATTTATGACATCAAATATGTATACTATAAAAATATTATTAACAAAGAATCTATTGGTACTTAGTTGGTATCATAAATGTTATTATCTTATTATATAAACTTGGTCAAACTTGAGATGCTTTGACTCTCCAAGATTCTTGGAATGACTTACAATTTGGGATGGAGGGAGTAGTTATATAAGAAGCTGACACTATTTCAAAAGTTGTTTTCAAAAAAGACTTTCATGATTTGATTATATATGGCCATAGTTTTTCTCCTTTAGAAATGTATGTTGTTCTTTTCATTAGCAAATAACTGACATACCAGTACAATGGTTTGGTTTGTTTTGAACTTCCGTCTAAGAATGCAGGATGACTGAGATAGTATCAGTGGCAGATATCCAAGCATAACTTTTAAAGAGGCAGCGAGCAGCAGCTAAACATGAGCGAGCCATGGCATATGCTCTTACACGTCTGGTGGATTATCTAACCTCTACACTAACATATGAATAAACTGTTTAGAATCACCTTTTGGGTATCTCCAGCATTGTTACATGCAGTTTATTAAGGAAAACACACACATCTACTTAAGTGGTTCCATTGTTTTTTCCATGGCTGGTCGACTTCGGAAAATATGAATCCATCTTTTTCAGGTGACCATATGCAATGTAAATGTTTTTCCCCTTAGTCCAAACAGAGAAGGGAATATATTTGATTTTTTTGAGTCAAAATGTGTGTATGTGTTAAAAGTTTAGGTTGAACAGGGGATCAGCAAGATTTTGCCATGATTGCACCCTTTCCATCAGTTAGCATATAGATTTTGCATAAAATGTATATCAATTTTTGACATAGTACTGCTTTGACAGTAAACACCTTCATACGATTATTATCATCCTAATTTCTTATTAGTACTGCAGCTGGTGCTATAACAATCCCATTTGACATTAAACAGCACCATAACCAATTCATTTTGTTAATTGTTAGATTCCCAGGATGCTGACTCAGAGAACTCTCCGAAGGAGATGCTGGAGTCTGCGATGCAGATGGTTTAGGGCATAACGGTGAACTACCAGATGGTGCTTTGGGCTCTGTTATGCAGACTATAGTTTTTTCTGAGAGTTTGATTTCTTTCAGCCATTACATATATAATATGATATAGCTTTGGTTTGTTGTGATCTGTGATGGTGAAACTTGGGTACTGCATATGAATTTGATGATTGGTCCTACACATTAGCGGTCTCTCATATTTATTTTTTGTGTAAATGATTTGCGGATGAATAAAATGCTTCACGATCCACATCCATGTTCTTTATTAGGTGAAAGGAACTGGAAATCAATCTGTTTGGTAGGGCGCCGCGAAGCGCGCATCCTTTTCTAGTTCTATGAATGGAGCACTCCTCCGACCTGCATCGTTTGGTGCGGCTCCCCTTCCGAAACTGGAGCCGGAGCCGCATTCACATTTCCCAGTGGCTAACCCCGACAAGTAACATGGATCCCGTACTCAACTAGCAAGTGGTATCTCAAAAATATTACCCAAAACGATCCACAGCCTTCAACGCGTTTTATAATCCACAGGGACAATTAACCTGACACAAAAATAAACGACTAAAATTGACCACTTCAACAACGTACGTACTCAGCAAAAATGGCGTAGCTGCTGACACAAAACAGCGTGCAAAATGGTCAATAACCTTGGTAATAATTTCTCTAAGCTGCCAACTAGGCAATGTGTTCTGATGAGATAACACGCTCACAGAGGCATCGCAAAAGCTACCACAGTATATGACATTTCACCATCATCTTGTGCTAGGGCTTGATGACTTTTGTTGTTTGGCTTTCTCGACCAGAGGTTTTAGTTGCTGCTTCTCTGCAAGCATCTTCAGCAAGTTGAAGAGGAAAGGGATGTAGTTATGCTTCCTCCGAATGTTCTCCGTCTTCCACTTCTTGAACTTCTCTTCTTCCATGATCATCTTCTCTGTGACGGTTTCGATTGCCGATATCACCTCTGTAAGCGAGTTGTCCAAGGATTCTGTGGCGGAAGTCTTGTTCATCTCCTGCAAAATCTGCTCCCTTCTCTTCTTCAGTTCCTCCAGCTCAGCACTGTACACCTCTTTCCTGTTCTTTATGATGGCCATAAGATTGAACCTGATCTCACTCTGTGAGTAGCGCTCGATCCTTTCTTGAATAACTGGCTGCACCATCCGTAGCCAATCAAGGTCATCAGCACCACCGCACTGCCCAAGATTTACAGGCCCTTCCTTCAGCCCATCCAGCTCATACAGGACACCTTCAAAAGGTAAATAGCTTATGAAATGGTAAACATCATCATCCTTAGTCACGGCTCTCTGCTCATCAGAAATAAATGGCTCTGGCCTTGCAAAGCTGTTATGAGCTATCCGGATAGATTCGCTGTTGCTGATAGCTAAACCCTTCAGATCAGGTGTGAAAGCTCCTGTGAATTCCTTCAATTGTGATAATTCTGGACCGATGTCAATTTCAGGGCGATTCATGAGAACTGAGAGAATAGCTTGAGTAGCACATGCATTAGTGATGACCTGAAAATAAGCAGATAGATTGGCTGTTATTGTTAAGCACAAAGTAGCAAACATGGTAAGCTAAACGGGCCAGAATGGAACTAACTTGGTGTGCAAAGAAAAGGTTTGGATTAGGATCTCTGACAACAGGCCGTTCATCCTTCTCCCCAGGTATCCACTTGAAGAGAAAAATTAGCCCATATACTGGCCTATGAAAAGTGGAGAGGAAGTGGAGGAAGAACATGTGTTCAGGGCATTCAGATAGCAGATATTGATGACATAAAAGAATAAAGATTCTCACCGCAGTTGACTAAGAGAGTCCACATCAAGAGAATAAAGCTCTTCCACCTGTTCAAAGAACATCCCAAATATATAAATGTCTTACCAGCATTATCAAACTCAAGAATAAAAGCATGACCTCAAACATAGTTGGTAGCTGGCATGTTGTCATGTGACTAGAGGTCCCATACTGAACGAGTGCAAGTGAATAAGCAAGTGTAGAACAAAATCTCACTCAAGGCCTCTCATTTGAATTTGAGTTGACAGTTGCATAAAAAAAGGGCGTACCCAGTGCAGAGAGCTCCCGCTCTGTGCGGGGTCTGGGGAAGGGTGTTAGTGGCAAGCCTTACCCTCGCCTGTGCAATGCGAGGAAGGTAAAAAAAAAAGTAACTATTGACAACAAATTATCAGTTATTCTTCTTTAAACTAAAGTGCATGTCTTCACAATCTTGTTGACATACAAGTTTACAATCAGCTACATGCCATATATTAACTATGCTTATCCTACAGTCATATAATATGGCAGTAAGGCAGTTCCTAAAATGAGAGTTCCAGGTTGCTGTCAGTTCCAGGTTGCTGTCAGTTCAAAGGATGAGAAAACAAACAATTGATAGAAAACAAACAGTTTAGGCAAGGAACGCAACAGAGCCCTGGAAGCTAACCTGTACACCTTTCACTTGCATTTGCTGAATCAGCTCGGTGAACACGCCTGCTCAAGTAAAACATAAGCAATGGTTTAAAACACCGATAAGAACAACAAATACAGAAGTACAAATGGAAGCAAGCATAACAAAATGCGTTTCAACTCATCAATGGTTTGCTGTTTCATGAAAGTAGAGAAAAAGTAATATGCCAAAGAACAGAGCTACCAATTGTCGGTAGATTATTCAAAAGTGTGATGACTGATGATATAAGTTGTTTTCTCACGCTACTATTAGGAACGGTGAAGAGCACATGCTGAATGACTTAAAAGATGATGACTCTAAAGGAAAACTATCCCCTTGAAGATATACCAAGTATAACCGAGCCCACTACACTTATGAGCAAAACACAGAAAATGCATGATATGCGGAGCTGGACGGGCAGGAAAAAAAAAAGGGAGTATCCTGCCCGTGCGCTACCATGCCATACACCTCCCATGAATCGGAAATTACAAGGAACAGTACATATAGTCATTGATGAGACCATGCGAAAACTCACCAGGATCAGACTCAATAGTGCACCAGGACATCCTTGCGAAACCACTGAAGTATCCTGGTTGCCCTGGCACAATCAATCATAGCAAAAACATGGTAAATACACGCGCGGCACCAAACAGCTTATACTAGTAAGCTGGGGTGAACGCAGGGGCGGACCCAGTAAAAGACGTGGCTGTACACATGTACACCGATAATTTTTGCAAAGCAATCGAAGTTAGTAGGCATAATACATGCACATACACTTGTAGTTAGATCAGATCCGAATACAAATAGTAGGTTAGGGTTTGGGTGCTCAGTTTCGCACAGCACGAAGAGAAGACCAAGATGCGGGCGTACCTGATGGTGCTCGTCGACAGCGAAGGGGCCGAAGAAGACCTGGGCACCTGGCGAGTAGCGCGGCAGCGACGGCCGCCCAGTCGTCGTCGACGCCGTCGCCACGAGAGAGAAGAAGTGGGGAGGGAGCGCACGCTGGGTAACGGAAGGAGAAAAGGGAGGGTTGCAGGCTTTGCAGCGAATAGGCAGGTCCGGTCCGTGTAGGGCCATTTGCATGGGCCTGAGCCTGGACTTTTACTGGAACTATCGATGGCCAAACGGGCTAAGCCTAGTGAGCGACACGAGGCCCAGTTCTATTAGACATGAATCTTAAACTATTTTTTACCTTCAACTTTTAGGATCGTCCGATTTACCCTTCTCGTTTACAAAACCGACTTTTTACCGTCTTAACTTTTCAAATCATTTGGGTTTTGCATCTATTTAGTTTTGTTGACGTGACACCACATAAAAGGAGGCAAATCGAACTAAGTTAAAAGTTTGGGGAGATAAATCAGACTAGAAATATTATTTTTAAATAAAAAAGTTTTTAAAAAATGAATTCAAAATTTATCGAAATATTTCTCCATAGAAAAATAATGCAATTAAAAATACCTTAAATTTGGTTTAATCTAAGAAAAAATTGTTTTAGCTTGGAAAATTCCGTTATTTCCCCTAAAAACATGCTCCATCTTATAGTGCTTAGCTTGAAACTGTTCGAATCTTGATATACTCATTTTTGTGCTATTTGCTAGTAGAAACTCTTGTTATCTGTATTATAAATTAGTCAACATTGATCGTCCGGATTATGTAGAAGCGTCAGCGGGAGAGCGTTGTTAGGACCATAGTGGGTGTTGGTCCCATGCCTGATAAATTTTCAAAGAGGCTTGGGAGCTCTCCCCCTAACACGACATCCCACTAACCCTGAGTAACTCTCAAACGCACAACGGCAACCCCTCAAAGATGGAGGAGCCCACAGTAGCACGTACTAAACCCGTCCTAGATTATAAGACGTTTTGACTTTTCTAGATATATTGTTTTTACTATCTAGACATAGTGTATATCTATATGTATATCTATGTGCAAAAAGCAAAACGTCTTAATGGAACGGATGTAGTTAAAACTCACCTAAAAGCGACTCATTTCCTCTAAACAAACAATAGTTGGACCATTGGACCATGGCTGAGAGCGTGAAGGGACCAAACTCACCACAGAAGTAGCGGTATGACTCATTTCAGAGTCTCTAAACAAACAGTTCAGTTGGACCATTCGACCATGGCCGAGGGTGTTTGGCGCGATTGAGATTCTTCCACCATCATCACATCCCAAACACGACCTGAGATATACATACATAATCATATAAGAGGAAGAAGAATAACTCCATCGGTTTTGGCTTTAATTAACCCGTTTCCTGCTATCTGTAACATTATTCGATTTCAATATACTTGACTGGCTTATTACACGTAGAAATATATAGAATGCTAAACGTGATATACAACTTTTTCTTATGATGTGCTAATAATACCTGCTGCTCCAGAATGTACAGCTTTCTTCAGTACTTACTAGCAGAGTGTGTATGTACATCCCAAAACGCCTCCAGCTCCGAGCAAGCACCATGCTGATCTCTTTCTCTATGGTGCTACGCTTCTCAGCATTATAATTTGTAGGAGAGGAGGCAACGACGATCGTATCATGTCCCCCAACCAAACGAATATTGCAGAAATTCAATACAAACAACAACAACTAGAACAAAACGACCTGTCTGTGACGATCGATGCTGAGAACGAATCCAGATGCTGAGATGAGATGCATCCTTCTTCCCCAGACCGAGACCATCTTCCCTTCCTATACGCAATGCCAATTGGCAATGCCAATTGCCAATGCGTGCGTGCATGATTTTGCTGCTGCTGGCGGCGGCCATCCATCACCATCAGTCAGTAGGTTCTGATGAGCAGCAGGCCGATTCCGGTGACGACGAGCGTCGCCGGGAAGCCGAGCTGGAGGTGGCTGAAGAAGGAGAGCGTGTAGCCGTACTGCTGGGATCGGCGCGCCTGCTCGCACACGATCAGGTTGGCGGCGGAGCCCAGCAGGGAGAGGTTGCCGGCCACCGTGCTCGTCCAGGCCAGGATGAGCCAGGCGTTGGTCTCCGCGGCGGGGGAGATGGCCGCCGCCGACGCCGCAACGCGCGCGCCCAGAAGCAGGACTGCGTGCATGTCAGAGTAATTTCAGTCAGTCTCAGTTGTTGGCAATCATCATCATAACATAATAATGCAAATCATCTGTTCTGAGGTGATCGAGGACACTGAGGACTGACTGACCCGTCGGGACGTTGGACGCGACGTTGGACAGAAGGAGGATGACGGCGGCGAGCACGGCCGTCCCCGTGGGCGTGTCGATCCGCGCGTACGGCTCCATGAACTCCCAGAACGCGCTGGGGATGCCCGTCTTGTTGAATCCGTCCACGGTGATGAACATCCCGCAGAAGAAGAGCAGCAGCGGGTACGACACCTTCTCCAGGCAGGGGCGGGCGTCCTTGAAGTCGAGCACGATGAGCGCCAGCGCGGCGGTGATGGCGCTCCACGACATGTTGAGACCCAGCAGCAGCGCCACCAGCATGCCCAGCGTGATCACGTACACGCACGTCTTCCACGCCTTGCTGTTCCAGTCGTCGCCGCCGTCGTCGGCGGCGGCGGCGGCGTCGTCTTCGTGCAAGGGATTGACGGGGTCCTTGCCGTTCACCACCGCTGCGGCTCCTGGTGCGGTCGTGGTACCGTTCCTTCTGTGGTGGACGCCGTTGGCCGGCTTGACGGGGTCCTGATGCACCACCACCGGCACCAGCACCGCCTCGTCGTAGCCTGCGGCCCCCTGCTGCCGCTGCTGCTGGGAGCCGCGGCGGAGGAGGTGCGACATGGTGGCCGGCGAGAACCGGTGCGACGTGACGTCCTCCTCCTCCACGACCTCGGTAGGCACGGCGACCACCTCCTCCGCTCCACGTCCACCAGCGGGCTTGCATCCACCGTCCAGCTGGTTCCAGTACAGCGCCAGCAGGACGGCCGCATTCACGACGGAGCCGACGAGCGTGGCCGGGAGGATGCCGAACACGAACTGCCCGAACGAGATGCCGCTCTGCACCGCGATCACCAGGTTCTGCGGGTTCCCGATGGGCGTGGCGGCGGAGCCGATGTTGGCGCTGGACGCCAGCGCCAGCAGGAAGGGCCGCGGCGGCAGGTTGTTCTGCCGCGCGATCTTGAGGATGAACTCCGTGAGCACCACGCAGCAGGTGTCGTTGGTGAAGAGCGCCGAGGACAGCGCCGACACGGCGCAGGTGCGCACCAGCAGGTCGCGACCGCCCTGGCTCCGCCACGAGAGCAGGCGGCCCAGGTGACGGAACATGTCGGCGCGCTCCAGGTACACGCTCACCACCATGGTGCCGAACAGCAGGCCCAGGATCGGGAGGTCCACCGCCGCGTACGCCTCGTCGGCGCTCATCACGCCCAGCAGCACCATCAGCATGGCGCCGAGAAGGGAGCCCGCCGTGCGGCCGATGGGCAGGAACGGCACCGCCGGGAACACCGCCAGCACCCAGAAGACGGCGAACGCCGCCGAGCCTAGAACCACCTTCAGCACGGGCTCCATGGCCATCGCTGCTCTGTTTGGGTTGGAATTGGATTGCCTTGCCTTCTCCTCCTCCTCCTCCTCCTCTACGAATCTTGAAAGGGGGATCTAGCTGAGCTGGCTACCTAGCACGGGGATCGGACTCTGCCCCAAGCCACCAACCACCAAAGAATTGAAATCTAGCCGGGAGCCGGGAGGGGGAAACCTTAAGATCTGACAACTGATGAACTCGCGTGCGATCGATCGGCTGCGTGCGGCACAGCTAGCTGGCTAGCTCTCACATCAAGTGGCGATCGGATTCGGAAGGCAGCAACAACCAAAGAGAGGAATTCAAGAAGGAAGCTGGTGCTCGCTTGCTGGTCAACTAGCTAGCATACTCTACATGCATAAAGTAGCGTACATACCTCGATTATCTTGTCTGTCTCCATCCAAGAGCTGCTAGCTACAACTACAAGAATGAATGCAAGTATGGAACAACGGAGGAGGGAAGGAAGAAGAAGAATTGGTACGAGCGAGCAGATTGGGAAGAAGCTACTCCCTCCTAGTAGGTGGGAGTGTTCTTGCTTGGACAGACGTCACGAGGCGACAGGCAGGCAGGCAGGAACATGAACATCCAGGTAGGATGGGATTGGGATTATTTGTCTAAGGAAATGGAAGAACACATGGCCTGGGATGTTCCAAGGAGGCAGCGCACACTTGGCAATCTCCACATGGCCCTCTCGCTTGGATATTTTCTTTTCTTTGGCTCCTCTCTCTCTCTCTCTCTCTCTACAATGATGAGGGAATGCATAGAATTTTTTTATTATTCGGTAAATAGAAACGAGGAAATGGACATGATTGCAATTTGCAACAAGAGTGAAGCACTGTTGCCGCGGAGGTCGACAGACAGGCCTCCATCCATTGGAGTCTTTCTTGGACCATCATCTAGGAGAAGGACTAGTCCCTTGGATCCTTCCTAGTCACAGCTGGAATAAAAAATATAAATATATATCTCTAGCTTAGTCCTAGAGAATTTTAGTTAATTCTCTCTGTTTGTCTCGGAGACTTGGAACTTACTCCTATCTGTTACTGAGTTAGTGTAGTTTTGACAGGATTTTAGATATCGATCCAAGTATGTGATTTGTGATGTCATGATGTGGTGAATAGGTAAACTACGCTCTTAATTACCTGAAGAGACTTGTCGTCAGAGGTTCAGTGCCACATGCGGTGAATCATGTCATTTTCCTATGCCTACTACGTTCCCCATGCTATTATTGACAAGCAACAATCAATAATCGATGCTCTATTGCTCATATAGTCAGACAGATGCTTCTCCTGGCAGATTAGTGTGCTTAGGCCCTGTTTATTTTCTTTGGCAAAACTTTTGTCCATCACTTTTACCCAATGTTTTGGGCAGATGAATCTAAAGTTTTGTCATTTGCAAACTAGGCTAAAAGTATTGGGGGTGTGAAGGACATCTCATTTTGCACTTTTAGCCCAAACTTTTGCCATGGATCTAAACACCTCAAGCAAGACTAAAGTTTAGCAGCAAAAGTTTAGGGGCTAATCTTTTGCCATGGCAAATGGAACTAAACAGGGTCTTAAATTTCGTAGAGGTTTTTATATACAACTTATCTCTTGGTTTGTCGACTTTCCCTCCAAGCACACTTTTTCATCCCTCGACTATCATTAAAGTGACTGTTGTAGTCCTTGAAAATTTTCTTTTGGGACCAATCCCGTCCCTCGTTCTAACCTCATCAGCAAGCCACCAAAGGATTCATGATGTCCATTCAGACGCTCCCTTGAACTAACAACAGATCCAATCCAAGAGAAACTTGAACTTACCTTCAACCTAGCACCATGCCTTCACTCGTTGTAACGCTGAGAGCTAGAGGAACCAAGAGCAATGCGCCTCCACCTAGCACTCGTGAGTACCTACACTTCGTGCCTCCTCGAGGCTATGTTATCTGCAACAAACCCTAGGCCTCATGTGTACCAGCCCAGGGGCGGATCCAGCACCGGGGCGGGTGGGCTTGAGCCCCTACTACCAATGCTCGGACCATGGAGCCCCTCCTACAAATTTATACCTATTCAAGCTTGGAAGGAGAGACTAAGAAAGAAATATTATAAGATAAGCCCCTCTTGGCTTATTTTTCTAGATCCGCCACTGTACCAGCCATAGGAGAGGATGAAGAAATGGGATGCAAATTTGATGCTGGCCATCGAGCTAGCCTAACAGAGATACGAGAGGGCAAAAGAGTATATTCATGTTCGTAGTTTCACCCAATAAAACTCCTTAATGATGTGCTTGGGTGTGAGGGTTCAGGAGGTGGGACGCTTCCGGGTGAATGCCTTGCCCGGCTCTCTGTCGCGGCCAGCAATGGTGACGTCTTTGTTGCCACGCTACTCGTTGGAGGTGTTGTCGTGAGGTCTTTACCTCCTAAGGACATTACTCTTGCCCGTGGTTTTTTGAAAGAAAAAAAAAGAGAGGACAAAGGACGAGATTGAAATGAAAAGAAACTTTTAGAGGAGGGCTAAAGTAGGCACTTTGATAATAGAGGGACAAAATTGAGCTTCACGTGGAGTATTTTTTAGAGCATGATACGTAAATTATACCTAAATAAAAGATGCGCTTAAATTCAGTTATAGTTAATGTATATACCGTATCTGAAATGTATAATTTGATCCGGTAAAGATGATCGTACACCATGTACGGTAGAGGGATGTCGTGCTCGTACCACTAATTGCTAATTGACGGAGGCCTCGTTCGACTTGCTAAAACTTGGCTGAAACTGGCTAAAAAACACTGTTCTAGCTGAATTATCGTGGGAGAAAAATAATATTCCGGCTAAACAAAAGAAGTCGAACAAGCCGGTTTTAAGGTAAGCCGAACGGGACCTAAGACTACTCTCTCCCCACCCATCCCCCCCCACCACACACACACACAAACAAACAAACACACACCGAAAAAGAAGAAGAAGAAGGCATAGACTACGGCCCTGTTCACTTTTCATATAATCCGTACTTTTCAGTTTTTTTTAGTTGGAACAGTGTTTTTCTCTCGCAACAAATCAGGTAGAGCAGTGTTTTTGCTTGTTTTTTCAGCGAAGTGAACGGAGGCTCCTGCAAGACAGTACAGCAGGGATTGAACAGTATTGTTATAAACTTAGAATTGTAAATTACACTATTATTATTATTATACTCCCGGTCGATGTGTGACTTGGGATAGGAAGTTGATCGCTGCTGCCCGGTGAGCCACTCGTCAGTTTGTTTGCACGCATCATGCTCAGTTCAATGACCAATCCAGCTGCTAATTGATATCCATCAGCACGGCACGCAATGATTGATCCACGACAAGGAAGAAACAACTAACCAGGCCGCCGGCCGGTCGCCGGGCCCGGAGACGGAGACGGAGGTGTGATGCACGCATGGCGCCCTAAGGCTCATCGGTGGTGAGGCGACGGCGGCTGATCGGAAGAAGAGACCGGTAGCTTAAATTATTGCTGGGGAGATGGGAGGGGACGGGCCGGGGTTGGTGACGGACCAGCATTATCCGTGTACGCTCGAACGAGACTGTTCGCTGGTCGGTTTCTGACTTTAAGTCCTGTCAGTGTTATTTTATTACGAGAGAAAAATATTGTTGACTAGTTGATAAGTTTTAACTGAAACCAACAAACGAATATGCTGAACTTGTCTAGCTCACCGTCCACTCCAAATCCTATCTCTTGGCCCCCCTAATTACGCCCAGCTTATTTTTATTTTGATTTGACCATTTCGTGATTTCTTCAGTATTCTTCGCTTATCACATTACGTACATCAGGCGCCTCAACTCTAGGTGCTGTGAAAAAAAAAATTATGTCACCTCGCGATCGCCAGTTTAGCTGGAACTTGAGGAATTATATATTCCTGTAAGCTGGTGGCTCATCATTAGGGTTTCGGAATAAATTTGAACAAGACAAGATTGGTGCCAGTCATCTCGTCGATGGTAATCAAAACTGATGGCCAACCCGGCCATGATATTTTGCAGCAAAAGCATTATTGCCCGTCAGGCTTGGCCAAATACGTACTCAAACTCCCCCGTCATCTCTGGTGGGGCCGGCCAGACCATCTCCCTGTCATCTTAGTCCCTGTTCGTTTGAGCTTATCAGCCGTACTGTTTTAAGTAAAATAACAGTGTTTTTCTCTCACAATAAATCAGCATCAGCATCAGCCGTCGAATAGGGCCTTGAGTAGAGAACAACCTTCAGCCCTGTCCACCGCGGGACCCTGTCATCTCTGGTACGGATGCAAAATCCCCACCATTTTTCTGATTCGCAAACCGTAATAGAATGAACAGACGCTGTACGATTTCCAACATCATCTTATCACAAGGGCAGGGCCCAGAGCCAACAGATGAATAATAACAACATAATAACAATAATATCGAAACCAGACCACTGAATAGTACCCTCCGTTCCAAATTATAAGACGCTTTGTTTTTCTAAATGCATTGATTTTACTACATATCCAGACATAATTGTATATCTAGATGCATAGCAAAGTCTAGGTATCTCAAAAGGTATCTCAAAATGATAAAACGTCTTATAATTTAGAACGAAAAGAGTTACAAAAAATTTGATTTGCTACCAACGGCGCAGCACGCAGATTAAGGGGGCGGAGGGTAACGATCACAGACAGCATCTGGCAACTGATCAAAGGAAAGAGTTGTACCCTTTTAATTTAAAACAACTTTATTATGTACATACACAACACAGCACCAGTATCAGGACAAGAAGTCAGTACCATACACAGAATACAAGAGACACACAGACAGTTCCGACCGACCCTAAACCAAAAGAGTTTGCGGTTTGTCACATCCAAACACCCCCCAGAATAAACCTTTAGTATCCCATGACGATATTAGACGGACATCCAATTACTTACTATCTAAATTTAGAATTACCACTAACTGCATGTTTAGCACAAGTTGGCCACCCCCCACAGTCATACCTGCTGAATCGAGCACTGAAGCAGACGTAAAAGAAGCTAATTCCTTCATCCTGTAAAAAGATTATTATGGTCAGTGCAAAGGTTAGCTGACCCCAGGCTGCGCCACCGGGTGGAAGGACCAGTTTTTTTTTGGCTCAGATGTCATCCCAGCAACTTTCTCATTCGCCCACCAGTCAGATCCCACGCTTGGCTCCACATTAGCAGCATCGACGTTGTTGAAGTTGAATTCTTTGGCCAGGCGCAGGGACAGGGACCGCCTTGCTTTCTCAGGTAAGTCATGGTATGTTTCGTCGACGTATAGCCCTGCCCTTGCCTCGTTTGATTCTCTGTGGTGATCACCGTTGCTGGTGGGCGCAAGGTGGAAAGATGCCGTGCCAGAATCCCCAGAAATTGCAGTCTTCTTCTCTAGGCAGCGCGCAACATCTTCGACGGTCAGCTCAAATGACACCCGATGATCCATAGCATGCTCATTGGGTTGAAGTCGGGCAGAGAAGTCAACAACTGGTACAGCTGCTGTGATGTGGCCATCCAAGAGGGACCCACCGTTGCGCATATGGCGGGGTATCAACTTCTGTGTTGCAATGCCCTCACCATCCAATATCTTAGGTGGCTCACGAACTGGGAATGAGTGTATAGCGCTGCGTGAGGAAGCCAGCATCTCAGGGTCAGGGAATGGGGAGGAAGTGCCAGAACAACCCGAGCTTGGAGATATCAGGCGCCCAATTGGGCTGTCTGGGTAGTTTGGATACGACTGAAGATCACCAGTTTCACCATTCTTGCTGTTGTTGATCGAAGTCAGAAGCTTTGCATATGGAACCTCCGGAGAGGAAGGGGTCGTCAGATGAACAGACTCCGGAGGAGGAGTGAAAGGGGCAGTTGATGGTTCAGTTGTGAAGGCCGAGAACACTGGAGGTGAGACTAGTTGTGTCTCATGTGCATATGGCCCAATAGCAAAGATGGATGGTGTCCCCACAGGGGATTGGGAATTCGGTGAGAGGGGCGAAAAAGGTGGAGCTCCAACCCTTGGTGATTGTACGATTGATGTGGGTTCTGATTGAAGGAAAGAAGCAGGAGAGGATGGAGGTGCCACAAAGGGGAACACAGGAGGCGGTGGGTGGTTTGGAATTTCTGCTACAGGTGCATCTGTCCTTTGAGGTGCAGGTTCTGGGACAAGTGCAGCATGGTTGACGCGCATGCGCCGGCCATTCTTCTGGGATCCAAAGCAGAAGTACACGCTCAACCGATCAGCCCATTTCCTTCTCTGCAAACAAAAAGGAGCAGTTAGAAGCATAACTTGGTGATGATATGAAACCAAGAATCAGAATGAGATGACTCTGCACTGCATATGAATGAGAGAATAAAAAAACTATGTGTAATGTAATCATCAGTCAGATTGCAGCACAACGTGTCCAATCAGACACAATATCAATCAGACACAATATCTCAGCGAATCAATCAAATGCCTGTGTGCTATTTTGCTGCATCCAACATTAAAAGAAAAGGAAAATGACATCACCACGGCTAAAAAGAACACCCCAGAGATATTTGCAGTGGATGGAGAAAGACACAGGCTTTTTAAACATGTTCTGAAACAATGGTATCACCATGGAGGGAGATTTGCTTTCATTTAAAACTGAAGTTAAAAGATAAACTTTAACGGGTTATAATGTATAATCCACGAAATGATTGCCAGTTCTGCAAGGTACCATTTTGAAATCTCTGGAGAACAACAATCATAAGTTTAAATCATAGGCCCTCAGAAACAAACAAGCTGGAAGAGGGAGGGTGAACTAATAACAAATATAAAGATGAAAACCTAGACACCAACCTGTATTAGAAAATAAACAATAGGACCTAAAGTTGGAATTTAAAAATAGATAGAAACAGCTGGTGGCATATCGCCAGCAGCGAAAGCATCTTTTTGTCCCATGTAGTCCAATGAATAATTCAATTTGACCATTTCAACTATCCCCCTTTCTTTTCCGAGGCATTCTCTTGCTATTTACAATGCCTTTTTCATGCATACTCTCAGTGCCTGAAACTGTACAAACCATGGTTTCAAAGGCAACAAGGCGTACTAGACCATCAAGGTGAGCTGAGTACGCTTGGATGCCCCCTTTGAAACAGAAGAGGTACAAATAAGGCAATCTGTACATGTCAAATGTACTACTCATCCTATAAAGTTTCTAGATGAAAAAACAGAGCATGTGCCGAAGTTCCAAGAAAAATGTAATGCAGGGACCAAACTTTTGTCTCATTCCTGATGTACCTTCCTCATGCACTTCCAAAATAGTATAACACATGAAAATTAACAAATCTAACTAGGTGAAGAGCATCAGAGCCCACAATTTTTCCTTCATAGATACTAAAAGCGGACGTACAAATGAATAGACCAACATCAACATTCTACAGCTGCACCTATACCACCAAAGATAAGAAAAGCTTTCTAGCTCTAGCAAGAATCCTCAGGTCCGAAGCCTTGAAAAATTATACAGCCAAGCATAATCACAGCAACCAATTTCAAGTGCAGGGATCTACCAACTGAGCCATATCCCCAACCCCCCAAAGCAAAGTGGAGAATGCAAGAACAAATCAGATGCTTTCTTCCATTCTTTTCACTTGCCAAGTTCTGTAAACATTCATTTCCCTTTGTAACACCAAACCTATGGAAAATATATTTATGGAAAAAATACTGACCAGTCAATCCAGTGACATAAGCATGTAATTTGAACACTGACACGGTCCCAAAATTACAACTTTCCACTAATTACTGCTGTACTCTATGTATAAAATTAGAATAAACTTAAGCCCAATATCATTGAATGGAGAATCCATGCATCTAAGTTTTATATATCTACACTCTAAATACCCGACAAGCTTATTGATAATCAAAACCTAGAAAGTCTGACTACACGATAACATTCTTCCGTTACTAACTGCAATAATACAATCAAATGCCCACTGAAGTACATGCAAGAAACGCTCCATGACACGTGTCCTATGAGATGTAATTTTCTTGCCATGCACATAAAGCCACACAAACAAGCAGCCACAGATGATTAAGCATAATAACCGTTACACTGCAAACTCCGCACGTACAAAGCTGCTTCAGCTACGCAATCATTAAAGGAAGCTACACACAAGCCATCCAACTAAAAGCCATGCAGAACATCACTAGCTTCTAACGTCGATAAAAAAAACATGCAGTGATAAGGTATTTAAGCACGAACCGGTTCTGCAGGAGGCTGCGTGCGGCTCTCGGCGGTGACGATGGCAACAGCAGCAGCGTTCACTGTATCGACGCTGTTGTGCACAGGCCTCATCTCGCCCCCGTTCTGCATGATTGTGGCGGCAAGGAGCAAGCACGGTTCTTCCCAGTCCAGGGACTGAACCAGACCTGCGAGATCCAAGCTCTTACACTTGAAGAAACATGATCCAGCCCTGGAGTCCGATCACGGTCCACGAAACCAAAGAGATCGAATGAGCCTGCAAGGTTGGGAGCTCGTGCTTTAGTCAAAGGGAAGGCACCGGAAAAATGGATTACAGACGCAACCCCCCGAAATTCCATACCTTGGGTGTCAAGTCGTGAGGTCCCTGCTGAGCTGAGATCGATCCGCTTTGCACTGCGCGCCGGTGACGAGGAACCTAATCGAGCCATGGAGGAACGGAGTTAGCAGAATTCCGATCGGTAGGGTCCCCGCGCCACAGGGGAGAACCCGGTGAAGAACACCACCCGATAATTTTTGCAAAGCGATCGAAGCTAGTAGGCAAAATTCATGCATATACACTCGTAGTTGGATCAGATTCGAATATAAATAGTAGGTTAGGGTTTGGGTGGTCGGTTTCGCGCAGCAGGAAGGGAAGGCCAAGGGGTGGGCGTACCTGGTGGTGCTCGTCGCCGGCGAAGGGGCCGAAGAAGACCTGCGCGCCTGGCGCGTAGGGCGGCAGCGACGGACGCCCAGTCGTCGCCGTCGCCACGAGAGAAAACGTGGGGAGCGAGATAGTGCAGCGCGCACGCTGGGGGACGGGGGTGATGGAATGGAAGGAGGAAAAAAAAAGAGGCCACCCTACAGGACTATAGACAGATTCGGTCCGGACTAAAAGATGGCAACGGCCCCCAATACCTCATACCCGACATCCGACAGGTATTTGATCCATTAGAGAATGGGATGGAATCATATTTTTATCCGCGGGCATCTAAATGGGCAAGAATCCATCCTCGACGGGTATAGCGGGTACGGGAACGTTCCCTGTTTACCTGTCCCTGTTACCCGTTGGGGAACCCAACTATTTGAGCTGTTATGCGAGTATTATGCCCAAACAAGCTCAACATAGGTATTTTGATCCAAATCTGAACAATCATATATATAGTTTGTGTGTTTTATGAACCCTAGTTCAATTTTTCCTCACCATCTCCGCCAGCATCATAAGCACGCCTGCCTCATGAGCGCTCGTGCCCCTCGCTTCTCAGTTCGGTCTCTCTGCCATCTTTGCTCTTCCTCCTCGCAACCTCGCTCCTTCTCCTCGGCATCTCCGAGACTCCAACACTTATACCTGGATGAAGAAGAAACGTCTCCGATTGCAAAGCTGCTACCCCAAGTGTCATTGTTTATCGGGTATGCAGTACCCGTCGAGTATCTGTTACCCGACCGATGCCCGACGGGTGTGGGGGATGGGCAAGAATCTGTACCCAAGACAGTTAACGGGGACGGGGACGGGGACGGGATGAATTCTCCATAGCGGGGAAGAGAACGTTCCGACGATACCAGACGGGTACATCCCCGTTGCCATCCTTAGTCCAGGCAGACCATTTGGGCCCTGAGTGTGGAGCACACTTCATTTTAGAGCTCAATAATAATAATGGTAAATTATTATTATTATTATTATTATTATTATTATTATTATTAAGCATTGTATGTATCTTTAGGCCTGTTTGGTTCTTGTTTTGGTTCGTCATTAGAGCTTGACCTAGGTGGCATTTTGTTTTGGCTTCGCCCTTATTTGATGAGACGCCAAGGCTGCCCCTCATGCGGGAGGGTTTGGGGTGGGTTTCCTGTTTTTTCTTAATCGCTCCTGTGACCAAAAAAAAAGTAGGCTTTTCTATCTCTGTGGTTATAAGATCGAAGTTACTATAATGGTTATTATACGAGCAACCAAAATGTATTCACTCGACTTGGTTGAGAAGCACATTCTGCAGAGACCCCCTCCCCCACATTACATGAGCCACGCCATGTACCACGTACAAGCAAACAAAACAACATTTCATATTCCCTGGGCTAGGCTAAATGACCTTATATACAATCAACCCAGCACCAAAACAACATATCATATTCCATGGCCTAGGCTAAGTGTCCATATATACAGTTAATCCAACACACCTGCAATGTGGCACACGAGCATGTTAGATGCCTAGATACATGTGCTAGTTTAGACCATTTTCTATGGTCATGGATAGTTCTATTCTAGCTATAAGGGTATATATCTAGTCTGTTCGTTTGGCTGTGGCTTATCGTAAACGATCGTAAATTTCCAGCCGGAACAATATTTTTCCCTCACATAAACCAGCCAGCAGTACTTCTTCACGAACCAGCAACGAAACGAACCAGCCAACCGAACAGGCTGATCATCGATAGGCTATGCTACTCAAATAGTTTTATTCTAGTTGTAAGGGTATATGTCATCGATAGGCTATGTTACTCAAATGGTTTGTTTCCATGTTTTGTCTTTTACGTGTTCAACAATGTAGTGATAATTGTCCCCTTTTTTGTTAATATAGGCTAGCCCTTAAATAAGAGGTACATTTGGAAAAACTTTCTTATTTGCCATTAGAAGTTAAACCGGTATCGTATTTGCTATTGAATTTCTTTTCTTCCTTATTTGCTACTTACTTTCTTTCATCCCCTGACTGCCATCAATGCCTGTTCAGTTTGAGACCGTCAAGCATAACATGTCAAAAAAAAATCATAATACTCAAAGTGCTCTTACCTATTCAATATAATTCCTCGTTGCCGGTTCTCCCAAATCCGAAGCTCCTCTCTCTCCCTTATAAGGAAGGGAGAGCATTTTCCAGTGACAAATAGAACACCACTTTTAACTTCTAATGACAAATAAGGAATTTTCTCCTAATTTTGCTCTTCCTCCATTAGTACTCGTTTGTGTAGGACAAATACTGCCAGTTTGACACCTTGTCTCCCCCTGGAAAGAAAAATCAGTTGAATTCGTGCAGGCCTGGCTTGACCCCTTGAGCTTAGCAGCATTCCGTTTGGGTCCATACGTAGTAGTAGTTGGTTTGGTTGTTTGTAGCCGTCAGTATGGTAGATAAGTCGGCTGATGCTGTTTTATTGTGAGAAAAAAACACTATATTATAATTAATAAACATCGCTGATACGATCAAGCGAACAGGTAGAGAATGAGCTGAACCTGCCTGTCAGCCTGTGAACAAGATGACCCCGCACCAACACCACCGCAACCACCCACATGCCCACATGCATAACCTTGGCGGCTAATCGAACTACTCTCATACTAGCTAATCCAATGAAGCAGCAGGGCCCTGCCTGCCTTTTTTTTCTCTCTAATCTGTCTTATTTGTCACGATGAGTAGCTGGCCTCTGCTAATTGGAGGATCATAACCACCGTGCCACTAGCAGATTAATAAGCACAAAGAAAAACAACACGCGTACTGTTGATTGTATTGGGATGGAGATGTTTAGTCCTGTCTGTTAATACAGCCCTGTAGGGGATGGAGATCCATTTCTTTTTTTTGCTTAAGAGCCTTGGGGTCCTGTTCGGCTTACCCCATATTCGGCTTGTTCGGCTTATTTTTTTAGACGGGACAATATTTTTCTCTCACAACAATTCAGCCGGAACAGTGTTTTCAGCCAGTTTCAGTCAAGTTTCAGACCAGCGAACGAGGCCAATGTAGGAGCAACATCAAGAAACTCTCTATATCATTCCTAATTACTAGGTAGCGTGCCCGTGCGTTGCTACGTGACAACTAAACTTTTATACTAAAAACACACGGATCGCACGTTGACATTAAACTGATATTTAATCCAGAAAAACAAAGTTTATGAAATTAACAGTCACTAAGAGCACGGCACTGCAGGCTCACAAACTCTACTATATAGGCCTTTCCGTGATACGGCTAAAATAATATTTTATATTGGCAAGAAGTCTCCGATATTATAAATTAAATGAAGCAATCAAATATGTTAGACAAACATTACTCAATCCACATATTTTGAACCTGTTTAACCAATAAAAATGCATAAAATGACTATTATATTAAACTAAATTCATGTCCATCATCTATTCAAAGTGCATGTCACAAGCGTGTAAATAATTTTAATATTATTTAGTTCCCTAAATCTATGAGACGCGACACGGTGTCCTTAGCAAATTCTTGAACTCGACGACGTCTGGCTTCATCAACAAGCAGACGATTGCGTAGGCCTATAAACAAATAAAAAACTTTTGGGTCAGCGTTGTAGTCAATAAATTAAATCAATGAATTACCCCATAAGAACCTCACTTTAAAAATCATGCGTTTGATTACAAATAGAACTAAATACCAATTCGCTGAAATCGTTAGTAGTGGTCACTCCGCCTATCATGCATGAGCAAAAAAATGTAATAACTGATACTTTATTTAGTTAATACATATGAGGACATCAGTGATATAATACCTCTCTTTCTATTCATTTGTACATGAAAACCAGCTAAAACGTGCAACTCTGATGCCGCTCGCCGCCATTTCGATAAGTGATGGCATATGTGTGTATACTTGACGGTTATTATGATGCAGTGGTACTTACGAGTTACAAAATTGTTAGCATCAAACAATAAAAAATTGATAGCATAGAGCAATGATAAAATTTTCATTATAAGTACCTTTCATTCATCAGCACCACATATTTGTACGGTCGCATCCGCACGTCATCCCTTCCTCGAATATTAGACACATGCACAACTATACCAATGACATCTACAAACACAAACGATAGTTATTGATGGATTAGAAGCATAAATAGTTAACTATGTATTTTTAAATATAGGCGTATGAGGTATACCTGTAAAAAAGTACTCAGCTTGAGTGTATACATCCTCGAATTTCATAAAGGTACGAGGATAATGACAAATCCATAGCTCTCTCGGTGGTGCATTAGCCATATTTTGCGAAGATAGAACCACAAAGTAATCGGCACATAAACGAAAGATGTAGCCTAAAGGACCAACATGAGTAGGCGCGAAGCCAACTCTCATGAAGTCATAACATTCGCCTACACGAAGCAAACGATCGAACCTCATGGTTTGGTCGCCGTACGCACCCGCTTTCATTTTGGTCCCCTATAAGAATATTAGATTCAACAGATAGATAACAATGGTCTGTAGAAAAAAATTATACATGGTCCAAAAAGATGAGCTCAAAATGCACCTGCTCATCCTTCAAAATTACACGCAAATATGTATCACCATGGTGATGTCGTACGTTGCCTTTCCAAAAAACCATGGCACTCACATCCCATGTGGAAGATATGTGTTCCATTCTCACTTCATGAAATTCAACCCATCTACAATCCCGTCCGTGTCAATCAAAATGATAAAACACACGAGTAAATCTATGTTGACAGAAAATGATTGTCTCGATCAATTACAAGA